AAATAATAGATAGGGTAGATGGATAGATAGATTGGTCGATAGATAGATAGATAGATTGGTCGATAGATAGATAGATAGATAAATAGATAGATAGATAGATAGATGCATAGATGCATAGATGCACACATGCATAGATGCAAAGATGCATACATGCATCCAAGCATATATGCATACATGCATACATGCATACATACATACATACATAGATACATACATACATACATAGATACATAGATACATAGATACATAGATACATATATATATACACATATATTATATACACTTATATATACTTAAATGTACTTATATTTATATACTTAAATATAATCCCTTCCTCCTAATACTAAAAACAGGCATCCATCTCCAATTTCCGAAAATTTCAGTTTGGCCAATTTGACTTTTAATTGATCCCCTTTAAAAAACAATTTAAAAATCAACCTACCATTTGTGGGTTCTCCCCCCTAATACTAAAAACTAGTTTACCCCGGGGTGTTTAGTATTAGGGGGGGCCTAGTCCCAATCCCTCACTCCAAGCTGCCTAGCTACTCTAACAATTAGGGGTAAGCTTCTAACTGCCATTTTTGGCAATATTTTAATTGCGTTATATAAGGAAATTTAATTGATTTTGAGATCGGAAAAAATAGTTTTTAGTATTAAGGGTTTTAATTTAGTATTAGGGGTAATCTTCGAACTGCCATTTTTGGCAATATTTTAATTGCGTTATATAAGGAAATTTAATTGATTTTGAGATCGGAAAAAATAGTTTTTAGTATTAAGGGTTTTAATTTAGTATTAGGGGTAAGCTTCGAACTGCCATTTTTTGCAATATTTTAATTGCGTTATATAAGGAAATTTAATTGATTTTGAGATCGGAAAAAATAGTTTTTAGTATTAAGGGTTTTAATTTAGTATTAGGGGTAAGCTTCGAACTGCCATTTTTGGCAATATTTTAATTGCGTTATATAAGGAAATTTAATTGATTTTGAGATCGGAAAAATAGTTTTTAGTATTAAGGGTTTTAATTTAGTATTAGGGGTAAGCTTCGAACTGCCATTTTTGGCAATATTTTAATTGCGTTATATAAGGAAATTTAATTGATTTTGAGATCGGAAAAAATGGTTTTTATTATTAAGGGTTTTAATTTAGTATTAGCGGTAAGCTTCGAACTGCCATTTTTGGCAATATTTTGGTTCCCTAATAATAAATACCACCCTAATACTAAAAACTACCTGCCGTGTTTTGTATTAGGGGGGGGGTTTAGTATTAGGAGGAAGGGATTACTTTCACATACTTATAGATAATATGCAATTATTTGCTATTATATGTATTATGTGAGTGTGTCCCACAATGTCCCGTCCCTTGCGTTTCACGCTCTTTTGTTGGCAAGTCTGTGTTGCGCCGAGTATGGGCACGGCTGACAAGGCATTACTGTCCTGGCCACTGAGTTTTCAGACAAGCCAACCACTCCAAAAAGATCTGCAAATATCTTGCCACGTCATTTCTTAAACCTGTTCCACTGTCCAAACTCTTCGGCACCTTCGCGGAAGCACCGACTACCAACTGGAAATGACTAGCACGCTACACAAATACACACGACAGTTACCACACACATCTCCAAAATCGCCTTCTGTTTTCCTTGCGCAGCTCAATGGAAGCGAGGGCCGAAGCCACCAAAGCCACCGCCTCCGCCCATTCCACCACCTACAGCCGAAGAAAAAAAAATACATATGTTTACATGACCAACTGCAGAACATGCTCACAGCTTCTTACAGCAAACTGATGGCAACTTGGCCTCCGAAAGGATTGGGCCTTAGCTGTTGTCAACATTCATCGGAATTGCCCGGATCAAGATCACGCACACTCGGTACAGAATACATGCAACATTCCAATCATCCAAAATTCCTATAGTCATTATGTTCACTGCTTGAGGAGGCGGCCGCCCACCAAAGCCTCGTGGGTCCAAGTCATGTGGGCCGCCGATGATCTTAGCGCAAGATGTCCCAGAAAACGTCACTGAGACACTGAGACATACTTGGACACTATACTCTCTAAGTGGAACATGCACAAACCAAAGCGTTTGCACTCAGTCAACTCAGTATCTTGCAAAAGGGCGATTGCCACCAAGTCCGGGGAAGCCAGGCTGAGGACCTTGCAAATTGAGATTCAAAATGATAAGCTGTTCATGATCATAATCCATATCTTGATATCACTCCGTGTCACTCCTTGTTTCTATCCTAGCTGACAATCCAGAGTTGCGCACGTCGTGGTGGCTCCAAGAGGAGTGGGTCTCTCAAACCTTAAAATTCTGGCAAGTGGATAGAATGAAACGAAATGCATGAAGCTTCAGCAAACTTTTGCATCAGTCAGGATATGTCAGGATCAATCAAGCCTCGTTAAAAGAGACAGGAACTTAGGGTGGGATGAAGCTTTTTGCCTTCCAAAGTATTCCTGCAGAAGTGTATCAGGGCCCAGCAGTGGCGAGTTCAAAAGCCCGAGACCC